GTTGAAAAAGGAGATAGAGGAAGACATAAACAGATGGAAGAACATCCATGTTCTTGGATTGGTAGAATCAACATCATTAAAATGTCCATACTACCCAAAGCAATCTATAAATTCAACGCACTTCCCATTAAAATACCAATGGCCTTCTTCAAAGATCTAGAACGAACTCTCCAAAAATTCATCTGGAATAAAAAAAGACCCCGAATAGCTGCAGCGATCCTGAGAAAGAACAAAGTAGGTGGGATCTCAATGCCAGATATCAATCTGTATTACAAAGCCACTGTTCTCAAAACTGCCTGGTACTGGCACAAGAACAGACATATAGACCAGTGGAATAGAATAGAGAGTCCAGAAATTAGCCCGAACCAATATGCTCAATTAATTTTTGACAAAGGAGGCATGAACATACAATGGAGCCAAGATAGTCTCTTCAATAAATGGTGTTGGGAAAATTGGACAGATATATGCAAGAAAATGAAACTAGACCACCAACTTACACCATACACAAGAATAAACTCAAAATGGATAAAGGACTTAAATGTACGACAGGAAACCATAAAAATTCTAGAAGAATACAAAGGCAACAAAATCTCAGACTTATGCCAAAACAATTTCTTCACTGATACAGCTCCTAGGGCAGTTGAAACTAAAGAGAAACTGAACAAATGGGACTACATCAAAATAAAAAGCTTCTGCACAGCAAAAGAAACCATCAACAAAACAACAAGAAAACCCACCTCTTGGGAAAACATATTTGCCAACGTCATATCTGATAAGGGCTTAATCTCCAAAATTTATAGGGAACTCATACAACTTAACAAAAAGAAGATAAACAATCCAATCAAAAAATGGGCAAAGGATCTAAATAGACACCTTTCAAAAGAGGACATTCAGAAAGCCAAGAGACATATGAAAACATGCTCAAAGTCACTAATCATCCGAGAGATGCAAATCAAAACAACAATGAGGTACCATCTCACACCTGTCAGAATGGCCATCATCAACAAATCAACAAACGACAAGTGCTGGAGAGGATGTGGAGAAAAAGGAACACTTGTGCACTGCTGGTGGGAATGCAGACTGGTGCAGCCACTATGGAAGGCAGTATGGAGGTTCCTCAAAAAATTGGAAATGGAACTCCCATTTGACCCTGTGATCCCACTACTAGGAATATATCCCAAGAAACCAGAAACACCTATCAGAAAGGATATATGTAACCAGATGTTTGTAGCAGCACAATTCACCATAGCTAAGATCTGGAAACAGCCTAAGTGCCCATCAGTAGATGAATGGATTAGAAAACTGTGGTACATCTACACGATGGAATACTATGCTGCTGTTAAAAAGAAGGAACTCCTACCATTTGCAACATCATGGATGGAACTGGAGAGCATTATGCTAAGTGAAACAAGCCAGTCAATGAAGGAAAAATACCACATGATCTCACTCATTCATGGATAATAAAGACCATTACAAACTTTTGAACAATAATAGATACAGAGGCAGAGCTGCCTCAAACTGATTGCCAAACTGCAGTGGGAAGGCCAGAGAGAGTTGGGGGGCAGGAGGGAGGGGAGTAAGAGATCAACCGAAGGACCTGTATGCATGCATATAAGCATAACTAATGGACATAAGACACTGGGGGGTAAGGGAGGGTAGGGGTTTGTCAAGGGCGGGGGGGAAAAAAAGGACACTTATGTAATACCCTTTGTAATACTTTAAGCGAAAAATAAAAAAATAAAAAATAAATAAAAAATAAAAATAAAAAAATAAAATCCTTAGCTTTCTGAATGTCGCTTCATGATCAGCCTTGCTCATCTCCAGTTTATCTAACACATACTATTTACCTGTGGTTGGCCCGCTCCTCTTCTTCACCTTTACATAGTGACGGCCTCTGGCTCTTTGGGTCCTGGCTCCAATGTCTTTTCTCCCAGGAAGTCTTCCTAGGGCCCTGGAGACCAGGCTAGTGCCCCCAGTGTTGCAGGTCCCCCACTGTACACTCTGATCCTGTACTCACCACACTGCCTTCTAACAATGTCTGTTAGTTAAAGCACCTTCTAGACCAGCAGTCGCCAACTGGTGGTCTGTGAGGTCCGAAAGGTTGGCAACTGCCTCCAAGAGCTCCTTGAGAGCTTAGGATCTTCTAAGCAGCAAGATGGAGCTCTTAGCACATAGCCTGCCAAGAAAACCACAGAACACTCACCCTACACTCGGAACACACTCACCATGTGTCCAGGTTGTTGATGCATCTCCTCCACACCCACTGCTAGACAGAAAGCTCCTCAAGGGCGGTGATGCATTTCATGCATCTTTACAATCCAGTAAGTCATGCGGTGACTAGTGTGGATTAAGTGTATGTTTAATCCTGTGTTTGCCAACAAGGACACTGGCATTTTTGAGCAAAACAATTCTTAATTGTACAAGACAGTCCCACACATTGGAGGACGTTGGCAGTCCTGCCCCTGCCCACTAAATGCCAGTGGTACCCCCATCATTTGGACACCTTCCCATACACACATACATATACATGCACACACGCATGCACAGACACATGCAAATGCACACCCTCGCACATACACATGTGAATACATGCACACACATGCATACACGTTTGTAAGAGTTCTTGGGGCAGGGCGGCTCAGAGGAAAATAGTACTCCCCATAGTTGAGAGCCTGTAGCCAATTGAACTCTTTTTGCAACAACTCAGTGAGAAGCAGAACATGGTAGACTCTGCAAGAGTGCTAGATGACTTACTGGAGAATTGTATGTGTGTGGTGGTGTCAGGTGGGGTACAGGGTAGCATCTGTGCCCTCAATAAAACATGGCAACATGTCTTTGTAATATAACTAACTAATCTTTATCAAACATTTATCACATGTCCACGCACTGGGCTAAGTGTTATACTTTGGTAATTTAATCCTCATGACAACCTGTGTGGCCCCATTTTTCAGAGAAGGAAACTGAGGCTTAGAGAGTTTCAAGCCATAGACCAAGTTAGCACCCTTGGTTAGCATCAAGGCCAAGATTCATCCACAGGAGTCTGACTCCAGGCTTTGCTAGGCTATTTAACAAGAAGAAACTTCAAAATTCCCAGATGAAAGAACCCTTTTCAAGTGTGTCCCTCCTATTGATTATAATATAGAGTGCGTTTCACAAAATATATTCTGCGTAGTGTTAATTTAGTGGGATGAGAATAATGGGTTCCATGGGCAAAGAAGTTTGAGAAATGCTTTCAGAAGGGTATGTGTACAGGGCAATGAAACAGTAACTCCGAAAACCAAACAAGCCTCAGAAGGTGCCTCAGTGTTTCACAGTGAGTCCGGAGGTGATTTCAGAACATTCGGGATCAAACAGTGGGAAAAACTACAGCAGGAGCTGGTCTGCCAGGAAATGATTAAAAGCCAAGTAGTGCTGATTAGGCTACAGGAAAAGACTAATGAAGGGTTAGTGACCTTTCTTCTAATTTCATCATAACAATAAGTACAATTTATTATGTGCAGATTACTTAAGTATCTTTTGTAATTTTCACTATTACGATCTCCCTTTCACAGATAAAATACTGAGTCCTAGAGAAGCTGGTGACGTAGCTTCCCCTAAGGCCGCATAACTATTTAACGGCAATGCCGAATTTGAACCCAGTTCTACCATCATGTCTTGTGATTTGAAACACTATCCACAAAGCTTCCAGGACTTATGGTTTGCTCAGGGGCTCTGCGAGTGAGTGAATGTCCAAAGTGAAACCATCTCAAAGACTATCCCCGGGAAAGCCTTGAATTGGTGATTCATGTTACAACACCGCCTTCATTTCAGTGTATCTCTTCAGCCTAAATTAGTTATCTGGTCTGAGTACTAAACTGGAAGTTTCTTCCTGGCATGATTTACATTTCTTAATTGTACTATTATATTTTAAATTAACAGATCGCCACATTGTTGCATGATTCTTTTTTTTTTTTTTTTTGGATTTGTGTTGATGAAATGACATCCATCTGCCTAGAAGTGCACCCAGTCTGAGACCCTTTCTGGAGTCAGAGTGCGTCCTCGCTGAACTGCCTTAGCGGCCACTCCAAAACTAACAGTTGACCAGGGTTTAAATTGTTGGTGGTACCCACATCCAACCTCTCATTTTTCAATTTCCTCTTTCCTTTTCTTTTCAACAGATGTTGGTGCATTTTTTGAAGAAGGGATGTGGCTACGATATAACTTCCAGGCATCCGGGATCAGCGGCAAAGAATCGGGCAGCAGATCGGAGAGCTCACCGGATCCACAGGGCCCACTGCCAGACCTGGCCCACGAGGAGATTCGGTTCAGCTTCAGTACCTCCAAGGCGCCCTGCATTCTCCTCTACGTCAGTTCTCTCACCACCGACTTCTTGGCGGTCCTCATCAAACCCACCGGTAAGGACAAAGACAGCTAGCCGTTGACCTAAGTAGAGATGAGCTTTGAAGCAGTGAAATTAATTTTATATAAATCAATGAGTCATCCTGATTATGATAATGATCAATAGTTTCCTACAGAACATATAGATGTTCAGTAGAATAGAGAATCAGAGAAATTTGCATTCCTAACCAGTCTCCGGATTTCACATTCATAAAATATATCCCTGACATAAAGGTCGCTTAAAACAGGGGTATATTTACATTTATAATATTGGCACCATCTTGATCTCTAGATATGCACTGAGCCAAAGAGGGTCAGACAGGTGACTAAGACAGGCATCCTGGTGGCAATTTTGGGCATGGCCTTATGGCCTGACTTAGAAGTGTAAACCTTCCTAATGCATATAAACTTGAGATCTAAGACACCTACAGATTTAAGATCACTTTTTTTTCTAATGAATATATTTTAGGTGTATCAAGGAGCGAATCTCTCTAACTCATTTCCCAGAGAGCTTGTGTAGCTGGCACTGTGGAGGTCCCTCTCTCATCGTCTTGCTCTTCAGTGGTTAGGCTCTGCAGCCTTCTTTGATGGTGACTGCAGGTTGTAACATCTGAAAGATCAAGGTCTTTTTCCAAGGGAACCAAGAATTATTATTATTATTAACATAATTCAGCTCGAGTTTTGAAAAATAGCAAATTCTTCAACTTGTTCTTTGGACAATAAGTTTAAAAGATGGGTAAATAAATGCTAGGATTTTCCCTTTTAGAAATTATTCCTAAAGTTATTAGCCAAAAATTAGATAGAAATTTAGCATGAAGGTGTCCATCATGGTATTACCTCTAGGAATTCGAAAGGACTGAGAAGTTTAACTTGAGTAAAATTTTGGTTTGTGAAAGGGGGAATCACAATTTTATGCAATGTTATGTATCCATTAAGAATACTATTCATAAAGAGTAATTAATGGCATGGAGAAAAATATTTTAGCAGTATCATGTTAAACCAAAAAAAGGGGGGGCAAGATACAGTTTTGACTGTCCAATATCAGTCTAACTTTGTGAAAAATACTAGTATAGCCAGAAAAGCAACAACGTGAACCAGGTGTCCGTTTGGATGTTGGTGCTGCTCCTGAGTAATACTCTTCTACACGCGTCAGTGCCCACACTGAGCAAGGATCCCTGTTCTAAATAGCAAAAATAATACATGAGATCAGTGAGGAAGCAGAAGGAAAAGGGACATAGCCCCTGCTTTCCAAGAGTTCACGAGTTAAGTTTGCATCTCCTGGATCTGGCTAATAGATTTTTAATCCACTGATGTTGTCCACCTCAGTGGGCAGGGATGATGGTTCTCACATTTAGCTTGTCAAGAATTTAATGAACACAACCCAGTAGATGCTGTATTGTCTGCTTCTCAAGACATGGCCGTGCAAAAATGTGGTCCCCAACTGTATTTAGTAACTCAACAGCCAACACCCACCCTGAGAGCACACATGCTGGTGTTTGTGGGCATTCGTCACAGGCAAGGATTTTCATTTAATATCCATTGCAGGCAAGGGTTTTCATTTAATAGTAAATTGATTTAATATCAGTGGCTACCATGGAATGCTGCCCAAAGCATGCTAAGTGTTTCACATATATCCATTCCTTTAAACACACATCTTTGTGCCATAGACACTATTCTATCCCCTTTCTACAGGTGACCTGGGATACATAGGTTCAGTGCCTTGCACACCCAGTGGGTGATGGCAAACCCAGGTTTCTAGGCCCAGGTGCTGGTTCCAGGCCCAGAGCTCTGAGCTGCTCTCTCCACACTGCAGAGACCCCAGGACCCTCTCAGTGCATTTGCAAAACATAGCCAGCTGGCTTCTGTCAACTTATCACAAGGCCATCCTCAAACTGCTGATGAAAATGTGGCTTTTTACACTTTAAATACTGACTTTTTTATTAACTGAGATATAAAGCAAAAAATTTTAAGGAAGTCATTTAGGGGAAAAAATCAATAAGGACTATGCCAAAATAATTTTTTTTTAAACTAAAATGTCTTAAATTAATGTCTTGGCACCCCTCTAACTCGACATAGTCGAGCTGTGTTCTCTTCACTGTTCCCCAGAGGCAGCTCTTCCCCCAGTTCTGACAGTGCTCTGACTCAGACACCCAGACTCACAGCCTGGTATCATCCATGCACATTCCACCCTTCCCCATCTTGTGGGCCATCAGGCAAAACAGTCCTGTGGAGCTTGTGTTTGGGAGGCCACACCCAGCATCTTTAGCAGCACTCGCCTCCCATAGGGCTCCTGGGACCCCAATACCCCTTCATGGGACAGCAGGGCCCCTCCATGTGTCCACCAGGGTGCTCTGTCCCAATCCAGCTCTCTGCTTCCGGTCCCTTCCACCTTAACCTCCCACCACAGCCAGAGTGGGTCTTCCTTTATGCACAGTATCCCTATCATAGAAGGAGTAGTGCCTCCTTCTCCCCCCAAGACCACAGGAGAAATCCAAAATCCTGCAACCTTCCAACCAAGCCCTACCACCTGCCTCGTGGGGAAGAGCTCCGAGTGTGGAACCAGAATGCCAGGGTTTGAATTCAGAATCTGCCTTTGTGGGTTGTGAGATGTAAGTTTCCCATCTGTAAAATGCTGTCTGCCGCATAGGGTGTTGTGAAAATCAATGTGTAAAGCATTTATTGCATGTAAATGTTAGAGGTTATTATTATCCACATCCCCTGTCTTGTCACACATTCAGTGACAAAGGAATTTGTTCTACCCCAAGGGCTCTGTGGGCATCTGTGTTTCTGCCCATTACATTCCCTTTTTTGGAAAAGCCCCGTCTTCCTCTCTGGTCTAAGACCTGCCTTTCTTTTTTTTCTTTTTTTTCTCTCTTTTTTTCCCAATTACAGTTCACATTCAATATCAGTTTGTATCTGTTTCAGGTATACAGCTTGGTAGCTAGACAATCACATATTGTACGAAGTGTTCCTCCCGGTATTTCAATGTAGACCCAGGTCAAATCTCGTCTCCTTTCAGTGACGACTCCTTACTTTAAACTCCCGTTACTCTTATTTTCAATGTCATCTGCTTGGCACTTAGTGCCCTGTGTTGTTATCTGTCTTTGTTATAAGGACTCCCTGTCTTCCCAGCCCACAGTAGGTGCCAGTAGGTGAGTGTTTACGATGACAGTGGTGGCGACCAGGAGAGAGTAAATCTGGAAAGCACGTGAGTGGCGGCAGCCAGTGCAGGAGCAGTTCCTTAACGCTGCTGTCATGCCCTCAGGAGATGAACACTTACGAATATTTTATTTTAATGAACAAATATTAATATATCTCCCTATCATCATGTTGTACTTCTCTTGTGCTATTATTTGAAAGCAATCAATACAGCATTTGAACTTTATTATTCAAGAATATTGCTATTACGGTTTATAGATATTCATTATATATAATATAAAGATCCAACTCATCTTTTTTCTCAAAGCAAATAATTTCTGTTGCCATTGAGGAAAGCAGTTATAGACATCTTAAATCATATTTACAAAGTTCAATAAAGCAAGAAAAGAGAAAAATAATTTTAAAAAACCACAACTGAATACTGATTTGAATGAGCTGGGGAACTTAAAGGGACCAACAGCGGAGACAATAGAGAGGAGAATGTCCAGTTTTTTGCATAATTACTGGTCCCTCTGAGCTCTGGCCTTCAAAGGCAGAGCCGTCTTTTACTTCTCTCTGTCTTCCCAGACCCAGGCACAGCCTGGCACACACTGGGGAACTGGGACTGGTTGTATGAGAAGTGACTCGACACTTAGAGAAAAACAGCCCACTTTCAGACCCTGAAAAATTGGATTCAACAGTGCTTTGCATATCACTAAATAAATGTTTTCTGAAGAAATGAATAAATAAGTGATGAATGAATACAGCTACATGTTCAAGAAAGTTGGCTGAGATTATACAAGGTTAGAGCACCGGAAGCAAAGGGGAGTCAAGACAATCAACTTTCTGCATGTTGCTCAAATAACCACCTGCTCATCTCCTTCACTCTGAAATATAGATTATTTTTAATGCTGTTAGGATAAAGGAAAAATAGAGTAAAACACTGAAGAATGGGGAAGAGAAGCAGGAAAAGGAAGCAGCATATTCAAAGGTCCTGAGGTAGGAAGGAGAATTTAATTTCTAGGACATAAGAGAAGTTGAAGGTAACAAACGTTAAAAGTGAGAAGGTAAATGGTATGATTTGAAAATAAAGTAACAGGCAGAACTCAGATCAGACAGGGCATCATAAGGTACATTAAGAATGTATGTCTTGCCCTAACCAGTTTGGCTCAGGGATAGAGCGTCAGCCTACAGACTGAAGGGCCCCAGGTTCAATTCTGGTCAAGGGCATGTACCTTGGTTGCGGGCACATCCCCAGAAGGGGGTGTGCAGGAGGCAGCTGATCGATGTTTCTCTCTCATCAATGTTTCTAACTCTCTATCCCTCTCCCTTCCTCTCTGTAAAAAATCAATAAAATATATATTTTTTTAAAAATAATGTATGTCTTCATCTTATGAGCAACTGGAAGACTTAGAAGAATGTTAAGTAAGCCATTGAAAGAATCAATTATGCATTTTGAAAAGACCTCTCTGCAAAGAAAACGTGGGAAAGAAAAAAGCACAGAAGGAGGGAGATCATCATTCATTCATTCAATAAATATTTATTCCCCACACCTACCAAGTATCAGAAATTTACTCTACATTGGAATAATATCATAAATAATATATACAAAAGTCCTTGCTCTCATGAAACTTACATTTGAGCGGAAAAACACACAATAAATTAAGACAATATGTAGTACATTGTATTATAAGAACTATAATAGGAAAAAAAATAAGGCAGGAAAGGGAGGGCCTGGCCAACAGAAAGGAGTGGGTAAATTCTGCTTTTAATGAAAAAACCACAGAAATAATCACTAAGAAGATGATATTTGAGCAAAGACCTAAAGGGGGTGAGAAGTCAGCCAGACAGATAACTGTGGAGTGAGCATCCTAGATGAAAGAATCAGCAAGTGCAAAGGTCCTGAGGCAGGAACATGCTGGCTTCTGGAGAAACAGCAAGGAGGCTACAGTGAGCAAGGAGGGGAATAATAAGAGATTATGTCAGAAGTGATAGTGGAAGCTCATATAGGGCCTGGAGAGCCATTATGAAAACTTCCATTTTTATTACAGGTGAGATAAGAGGAAGGCATTGGAAGGTTCTGAGCAGGGGATCACTTGAAGTATCAGGTGGAGAGGAGACAGGTCTGTGAGGGGCAGAGACCAGGGTGGGGAAGGTGAGGGTAGGGCAGAAGCAAGAGGTTAGCGTGGAGGCTAGTACAGTAATTCAGGCCAAAGATGATGGTGGCTTGGTCTGGGGGTAGAAATGGTGATGATAAAAAGCAATAAGATTTGAGGTATATTTTGAAGAGCCAAGATTTGCTGACAGACCATATGAGTAATCTAGAAGGAAGAGGGGAGTTGGATCTTTTGGCAGGAGTAGCTGGAGGGATGAAGGAAAATGTGTGGAAAATTGCAGTGGAATATTTGGGGCGGGGGGTAAGATCAAGAGTCTGATTTTGAATCCATTGTGTTTGAGGTGTCAATAAGAGAATGGGAAGAGCAGAGAAACAGGGGACTCACCGAAGAGTGAGGTGAGGTCAAGTCAGTCACTGATATGGAGTGGCCAACACAAGGCACCAGGGGCGAGGGCCTCTGATGGAGCTGAGATAGCAGGGGAGTAGTTCTTATGTGTTTCACATGGGGCATTCTAAGCACCATGGAGCCCCTGTGGGTACAGAGATGAAGAAGAATGGGGCAATTTAGACACATTTCATAGATGAAAACCAACAATGTTTGATTGAAATGCTGTGAGCAAAGGGATCTAGAATAAATACTAAGGTAAATCTCAGAACCAGCGAAGGTTTATTGAATTCGCTTTGAAAGCAAAAATAGGAAATGCAATTCATTCTTGATCGTCCTAATGAACGTTTCTTTCAACTCTGGGAACTTGGCAGAATATTTTAAGTAGCACTTGTAATGCTGGAATGCCTAGATGAGGAAAGGCAGCATTTAGAAACTATTGCATTTATTTGTGTATATATAAGAGCATGAGAAATATCTGGAAGGTGATATGGCCAGAGAGTTAGAGTTGTTATCCTGGGATGGTGAGGTTTCCAATGACTTTATTTTTTTATTTCTGTGTACTAAATTTTAATTATTATGTTTTATTTCACAACTTAAAAATCAGAATATCAGTTTTGTTCCTGTAGAAGGTGCATGAAAGAGACCACAAGGAATCCATGAGGTGATTTGCAATTGGTCAGACTCCATTTTTTAACCTCAGAGATGTTAGCTATTAAAATGAAGATTCCAATTTGAGTGAAAAATGAAATAAAAATATTGGTCTTTAAAAATCATAAATAAGACATAAAAGTTATGTTTGCCATGCAGATTAATTAAAAACAGGATCTAGAATATTACATGAGTCTTCTTGAATATTGTTTGTCTTTATTGGGAAGAAAGAAGGAGGGAAAAAAGAATAATTCATCCAGTCAAAGTGAGCTTTCACAGAGGCGACCAGTACCCAGGGCCCGGGAAGCCCACCATTTCCTTTGTTTTGCATTTGGATTGAAGCAATCTCTAACCTCAAATAAAAGTAATTGCTTTGCTCCCTTAGTGTCAGCAAAGCCACCCCAAATCCCATATGTTTATCTTTTATAAGTTATGTTTGTTTTTAATACTGTATGCTCATGATTCTTTCATACGCCAAATGGCATGCTTTGCCGATGCTGTGAGACTGTCCCTGTACCCTGCATTTATTTTTTACTTCAGAGTATTTTGTGGGGCCTCCACATTCCTATATTGTATATATTTTCATTATTCCTTCCCAGGCACACTCCCATCTTGGATCATTTTATACATTTTGCTGCTTCAACTTTGAGATCATGGTCACTGATGGCTCACTGTTGGTAGATTGTAAACCCGAGGGTGCCAGGTGCTGTTAACCCTCATGTGCCTCGGAGCTAGTGACTCAGAATTCAGAATGGCAGATGTAATTGATGGACATCAAAGGAGGGAGCAGGGTTCAATGCAAACCTAAGTGTCAAGGATTGGGAGAAGTATTATTAAAATGAAACCTGGAAAAAAATTACTGAGTTTTTTTCCTATCCCTTATATAGGAAACTTACAGATTCGCTACAACCTGGGTGGCACCAGAGAGCCATATAATATCGATGTAGACCACAGGAACGTGGCCAATGGACAGCCCCACAGTGTTAACATCACCCGTCATGAGAAGACCATACTGCTCAAGGTATGCATATGTGTGCATATCAATTGTATATGATATAGTGTGATAACCTCTATAATACTTGGCCATTGGTTTTATTTGGTTTTGTTTTGGAGGTGGGGCAGATGGAAGAAATGCGTGCTCATACTTTCTCCTACAGATTCCTAATTAGTGAAGTAGAAAGATGCATAGTTCTTCTAGCAAAGACAACTGATGGTAATGAAATTTCATAGGGAGAAGCTAGAATAAATGTTGACTCTGTATATTCTCATAGCTTTCCTCCTGTGGTCCACACAGCCATCAGTCTACTGAAGCGGTTCTCAACCTGTGGGTCGAACGACCCTTTCACAGGGGTCGCTAAGACCATCGGAAAACACATATATAATTACATATTGTCTTTGTGATTCATCATAATTAATTAATTAATTATCTTCAATTTGTAATGATGAAAATAAACCCTGCATATCAGATATTTACATTACGATTCATAACAGTAGCAAAATTACAGTTATGAAGTAGCAACAAAAATAATTTTATGGTTGGGGGTCACCACAACATGAGGAACTGTATTAAAGGGTCGTGGCATTAGGAAGGTTGAGAACCACTGGCTACTGTTTTTATCCACGGCACCATCTTTTTCCTCCATGCGCTCAGATGTCTAAGGCTTAATGCATTTCCCAGCAAAGGCTACTGTGGTTTATCTGACCTATTTCCTTCACTCTTCCGACATGATATGCATAACTGTATTTTTTGTCTCTGTGGATGCTTTGTCTTAAAAATCTTCAGAACACAAACCTTCCACAGAATCTCAGACCCTACTTGTAGACTCTTAGCACACAAAGGGATGGTTTTATCATGACGCTTGAATTTTATGTCAGGTCCATTGTATTATCCCTACTCCTACCACCGATTTTTACAATAAAGAAACCAGCCTGGGAGGCACCATGAATAAAACATAGCATGAGGAGGTCTCCCTGGGAACCAAGCCAAAAGATCAAGGATGGGAACTGTCACTGCCTTCACTAGGAGTTCAGAATAGATACCTGTCGGCAGGAAGAACTGCGGGGATGCTGTTCTGTCAGTGGAGTGGAGTGTCATTTGGCAGGGGTTCAGCCGCCTCTCGGACCTCGTTCAGATTCGGCTACTTGCCGAGGGAAGTGCAGGTTGTAAGAAAAGGCACAGCCCTGTCTCTTTCTGAGCACAGGTGGATGTCAAATTCATAACTTGATATGGAGTTTATGCTTGGCCTATAGCCATCAATGCTAGAGGGTATTTTAAGGATAGGTCTTTCCTAGGAAAAATGACAACAGGAAGTTACAGCTTATTGTGCAGTCAAACGTAGTATAAATAAGGTGACTTCACAGTGACAGACAGAGTCTCTGTGCCTAGCTAAGTGCCTGGCACATAATAGGTCCTGCAAATTATTTACTAAGTAAACCAAGCCCATCTGTATCCATAACTCCTGATTCATAGCACTTTATCAACATTGTGTTTATTGGCTTTTCATTGGAGACATTCTCTTGTTTTAAACCATGCCATCTGTCATCTCTTTTGAAGTAAGTGATTTATCTTGCCATTTTACCATTGCAAAATAATATTAAAAGATAAAAAGAGCTCAGTAATTGGCTCTAAAGACAGTACAACAGAGGAGATCTGCCACAGCTGTAGACTCATGCAAGGCTAACCCTCACTCTCTCCAAGAAAACACCTGTTTATTAGGACTGAGCCCTATGGGTTGCAGAACCACAGGCAAAGATGAGGAGGGGGTGAGTGGGAGCAAAGGGTAGAGGGATAGGCTAAATAATTCCATTTCTGATATATTTCCCAAAATGAGAGTTTGGAGTTAGGGTAGATTAAGAAGGACTTCCTTCTGGTACATTTCATTAAATCCTGCATGCCCCACACTGGGGATTGAGCCCACAACCCAGGCATGTGCTCTGACCGGGAATCAAACTATGACCTCCTGGTTCATAGGTCAGTGTTCAATCACTAAGCCACACTGGCTGGGCTAACCAGCAACTCTTTAAGAACAAATATCAGCTTAATCAGCGGCAGTTTGCCACAGTGAATTAGAAAGGGACAGACTGTTTTCAGAACCTGGGGCTTTAGAGCCTGGAAAGCCAGGGAAATTCAGATAGTGGATAAGACAGACAGCCGAGAACCCAGGGAACTGAGGAGACTCTGGGAAGAGTCTATTCCCATTGCTCAGGGTTATTTGGTTGCCAGTAACCAAAGACCAATTCAAAATTCATTTGTAGGAAGAATTCCTGGAGTCAGTCCTGGAATTTAAGAAAGAGAAAACCAAAATTTTAGAAGAGATTCCAGGGGAGCGGAAGGAATAAAACAAAGACTAGAATGCCATTGAAGCCTCTCTCTCTCTCCACCCCTATTCCTCTCTCCCTTCCGCACTCCCACCCTCATCATCTCTGCTTGTCCATCCCTCTGTGAGGACTGCATGAATACCTCTCACTGCAGCCTCCATCCTTCACATATTCCCAGACACAGGCTCACATCTTCCTGGTTTTGCTAACAGAGAAAGGCTCTAGTTTCTTGGTTCTCTTTTTTAAATCCCAGGGACAGTCCTGGCTTGGGTCACATGCTGACCCTTTTGCAGGGACAATGACTGATAGCTCCTAATCAAATCTCATGAATAGAGTAGGGAGTTGGGGAGAACCCTCCAAGAGAACAGAACCACAGCCCCAGAGAAAGGAAACAAGATTGCTATGGAAAGCATGGGCTGTTCAGTGCTCTGAGGTCAGGGAAGAGAGTGTAGAACAAAGTCTCCCATAGGAATCACACCCAGAGTATTGGAAAGCCCTGCTCTCTATCCTTCTGTAAACAATGCCGTGCAATTGCACTGAGATTTCCGAATGTGTTTAGAAAGCCAGACGTCTCAACATGCTTGAATTCATCTGGGAAAGATTTTGTGGTCAGGGTGCTTTGTTGTTCTCAGCCCAGCCTCTCAGTGCCAGCCGAGATCGCACATGGAGGCGCTGTGGGTGGTGAAAACAGCACCAGGTGTTAGACTGGTTGGGTCAGACCAGACCTGGGTTCAGCAACCTCAGTACTTGAGATGTGGCTAGGAAAGAATACAGAGCGAAGACTCAAACTATAAGAGAACATTTATTTATAAAATCACAGAGGTGGAAGAGTAATTCATAGAAGAATGGACTTAGGAAACAAGTTATAGAGGTAAAGGAAGGCCCTTGTAACTTGGACCTGAGGAAAGTAATGGCAGTGTGCCTGGGTGGAGGGAGAAGGGAAGGGCACGGGCCTGCTCCCAGGAGGGAGGATGAGCTGGGTCCTCATCCTAAGGGTTTTAAGAGTGGAAATTTTAGGGGAGGTTCCAGGGGGAGATCTCAATAGAATATTCAGGAGTTTTCCAGGTGTGTCTTTTCAGAGTCTAGATCTCCACTGATTGATTGGGCAGTGCCAGGGCATGGGGTCATTATCCTATGCGGCTGATCCTGAGGTCACCTGTGGGGTTACTTGTCTGGTTTTGTTGCTTTTCTGGGCCTGGAGCTGAAATACAACTGAGGCCTAGATGTTATCTCTAGGGAGGAAATGTCAGGGGGTCGAAACCGAATGACCAGCGATATGCTAGGGGAGGAAAGGTCACCCTGGGGGTGAGGTCCCACCCTACAGTTATCCTTTGTTAGGCACCTGGGGCTTTCCATCCTGGTTACCTTCTGCACCTAGCCCGTCACCCTTGCTCTGCTCATGTCTGTCAACTGCCTACCACAAAGGTAGAGATGGTGGAAGAAGAAAAGATATGGCTCCTCTGTGGAAAAATAGGTCAGGCCAGCTCCTGCCCTCCCTTATTTCAGGCAGGGAGGCCTTGCAGAGCATGGGAGTCATCCTAAAAGGACCTTTAGAACTCTAAAAACTTTGATTTATTTTTCCTGAAACATCTTGAGAACTTCTACAACCTCAAGGATGTATGGAGAGAGATACAATAAAATGTTAATTACAACTACTTCTGTATAAAGGGGTTGCAAATAGTTTAATTTCCTCTAGAGCATTGGTTCTCAACCTGTGAGTTGCGACCCCTTTGGAGGTCGAATGACCCTTTCACAGGGGTCGCCTAAGACCATCAGAAAACACATATATAATTACATATTGTTTTTGTGATTAATCACTATGCTTTAATTATGTTCAATTTGTAACAATGAAATTGGGGGTCACCACAACATGAGGAACTGTATTAAAGGGTCGCGGCATTAGGAAGGTTGAGAACCACTGCTCTAGAGTTTTCTATATTCCCTCATTGTCTACTAGAAGCATATGTTGCATTTTTATAATCAAACAAAAATATGAAACATCCATATATCCTCAACCTATTCCCCAGTTACAATAAAATAAAATGATACAGATATTTAAATAATGTCAAAGTAACGTGTACGTTTAATCAAAGAACAAAAGGCTAATTCAAAGATGAGTTTTAAGTACTATAGAATAATGTCTTTGGAATTGAGGTGACATTTTATACATTTATATATACTCAGATATCCTATAATTTAGATACTGTTTATCTGTGTTTATGATGTTTTTAAAAGCAGATCTACTTCCCTAGCAGGGTTTGACCAAAGCTAACATTAAGCTAATTTGCATTCCCTGAGCACACACCCTGGTGCTGAGCACTTGAGGGAAATTGACCTTGGGTAAAACATTTGCTTTCAAAAAACAACGTGCCTCGTCTCCACATAGATAATGAAGAACTGATTCCAGGAGTTGTCAGACACCAGCATGAACCAGAACCCGTGACAACCCTCAAGTGGCATCATTTGTGAAAACTCACAGTTGCACCAGGGATAATAGCTAAAGGCTTAATGTCAGTCAAAATGTAAAACAAACCCCGGGAGGCAGAGAGCACCTGAAAAAGAACTGTACATGATGAAAAATCATGCTGATTAGCATGCATCCAAGAGCTGAACATCACAATGACTAATTTCAACATCTTGTATCACAAATCCTTTCTTTCTACTCTCCTTTCTTCCTGCTATCCATGGCGTTTTTCTTCTTTG